TGAGTTTAGGTGATCTAATTCAGTTTCTCTCACTGTGTTATTTGTCAGTATTCACTCAATGCTCCTTATTCTGCCTGATAGTCTACTGTTTTTATTTCTCTCTATGCATTGCTTTGGGAAAGCCTGGCCTTGAAAAGTAACAAATAAATAACTGGAATAAATGGAATAAGGTGCAGGAGCCATACTCCCTTTTGCCTCTGGCTACCCTAAATTTATGGATACTTTGAGTCAGATTAGAATTTTGTTAGCATTAATAGCTACTGAATGGTTAGAAAAACATTGATATGTTATAAGGTAGTTAACACCTGCAGTGATTCCTGCCAGTTTTTACAGTCACATTTTCCTATTTTTCAAAAGTGCTGTTGTTTCACCTGTTTCTTTAGGCAGCGGGGGTGGGGAGTAATCCTAAAAGGGGAAACAGATTGACTTGGTCTGAAAGGGAAAACAAATAAATCATGTATTCATAGATTTCTGAGCAATAAAACTTGCAAATTATTAAAACATGTTGTTAGAGCAAAAACAAGAGTGAAGGAATTGAATTTATTACAGCATCTTTAATCAATTTATCGCCTGATTTTGCTATTTCCCCTTTCCCATAATAATATCTTATTTGTGGGCAGTATTTATTTAAGTTATGAGACGAGGTGCTCAGAGCTTCCTAGGATAGCTGGAGAGCTTTAAAGTTGCAATGTTTTTAGAGGTACTTTAGAGAAGCCATCCCGCTTTTTTATTTAATCCCAGAATGTCCCACTTTTTCTTAGGATGTCCCTATTTTAATTGGAGAAATGTTGGATGGTATGGAGTTACCCAATTTCCGAGCCATCTGAAGGCAATCCTGCATAGGGAAGTTTTAAAAAAATGTTTTATTATATTTTATATATGTTGGAAGCTGCCCAGAGTGGCTGGGGCAACCCAGTAAGATATGTGGGATATAAATAGTAAAATTATTGTGATGGAATGGGATGTCCCTATTTTCATCTGAGAAATATTGAAGGGTATGTGAGCCCGACAGAGGGAAAACAAGCCTCTAACAAATCATTTGACTTACCCTTTTTGCTAGTGTAACTTCCAATGGGTTTGGCATATTACTAAGCTGAAAGGAGTTTGGAATAGGAGTAAGTCTCCCCTGCCCAAAGCATCCTTTTTTCGGGCTTTACACTAGTCTCAGCTGAGAGTGCTTTGACTGAGCTGGAATGGAGGCATTATACCACTGTTATTTCTGGCTGAGCCAGGTTGAAGTAATTCAGTCAAGGCAGCCCCAGCTGATCCATTTATTCCCAATAGATATTGGGTTCATATTGGTCCCTTTAAAAGTGCAGCATTAAACAGTTATATTCCCCATCCCTTCATCTATACTTTCCCTAATAGGGTTTTCCTTTCCCTGTGAATCTTGAGTACAGTGCAGCTGGAAAGTAAAAAGCTCTCTTCAACTTAAATGGGAAAAGAGGTCTCGACAAATTTGACAGAACAAGCATCCCACTCAGATACCTGAGGCAAATGAAAATCTAGAGCAAAAAGCTGTTTACAGCCCACACCCATGATTCCACAAGAAATATTCACTCTACAGACAAATACACCACAGGCATGAATGGGCATGAGGATTCTGTAAACTATCCAAATTGCAATTATTAACTGCTGTACAAAGGAAACAAGGAAGAATGCCAGTAAAGCTGCTGCTGTTGCCATTTTAAAATACAACATAAGATGTAATGAAACAAATAGTTTCAATTTATCTCTGGTAAAGTTTTGTTTTTAAAGTGATTTGGCCACCATCAGCAGCTGAATATACTTTAAATAAATGTGCAGTTTGTCAAGGGTGCTGGGAATTATTTCTTGTCTTTACTCCATGCCCACTGCCTCATAACTACAGTCGTACCTTGGAAGTCGAACAGAATCTGTTCTGGAAGTCCGTTCAACTTCTGAAATGTTCAACTTCCAACGTGCAGCTTATGATTGGCTGCAGGAAGCCCCACCGGACGTCCTACTTCCAAAAGAACATTTGAAAACTGGAGCACTCACTTCCGGTTTTCAATCGTTTGGGAGCTGAAACATATGAGTTCTGGGGCATTCGAGAACTGAGGTATGACTGTACTGTTCTTCTATGTTTCCCTGGAGAGACAAAATCCCTATGACCTATAATGCCCTTATTTAAATTGTCCTTCCACACAGCATCGTTGTCCTAAATTACATGATTTATGGTCAAAAGCTTAGTGGTATATAAAACAACAGTGTCTCATATATTTTAGATATTGATCTTGCATCTTTATTCTAGCTAAAGTCCTACCTTCCAACGGCTACACAAGCCTTAGTAACTAAAACCCTTTTGCTAAAATCTAAAAAATGCTGTGCCCCAAAACCACAGACTACAAGCCTCCTTCTATGTGGTTCGTTCAAATTAAATTCTGTTTTATGTGTAACTTTCTGCCTCAATGCTTCCTAGAAAGAGGTATTGCTGCTTGTATTTTATTCCTCCCTGTTCTCCTGCCAGCAATACAAAGATTTAATGATCTATTTGTAGACTTGTCAGGTATCACAAGATCTAAACTGTTACTGCAGGTTAGGGCCATTAGAGCTGTTCCAAATTATTCTTACAGCCCATCAGAGTCTAGAAAGCTGCAAGGGAAAGCAGTGGAAAAGTTACTTCCTCCTTTATGGAAATGGGGGCAGGGAGAAAGACATTTCCACTTCCATTCATACATTCTTCTGCAATTACCATCCAGTTAGCACATGCACAAAGCCAATGAGGTGTAGTGGCTAGAGTGTTAGACTAAGACCTGGAAGATTAGGGTTCAAATCCTGGGTGACCTTGGGCCGTTCACAGTCTCTCAGCCTAACCTACCTCACAGGGTTGTTGAGAGGATAAAAATGGGGAGGGAGAACGATGTATACCACCTTGAGTTCTTTGGCAGGATATAAATGTAATAATAAATAAAATTCCTGGTGATTAGCACTATTGGCCAACATTAGGGAAGCAATTATTTCGGATTAATGGAACTTCCTTCTGAGTTCTGAGCAAGTATGCAAAGAATCAGGCCACACATTTTCAGGTCATAAGCTTGCTCATGCATGTTGCTCATATCTCTAAAAACAACATGGAAATAATTTCTACATGAGTTGGGAAGTGGTGAGCATGTAGAAACAGAAAATATGTCTTTCAGATTTTAATGTGTTGGCAGATATGAGTTTGGGTTCAGAAGAGGCGTGACTGAACCATTAACCAGTTACAGCAACTATATTTCATTTCTGATCACGCTTCAGAAAATGCTTACAAATCAATAGTAAGCTTGGGGAAGGAAGAACCCCAAGGTGTGACAATGCCAAAATAATTTGTCTATGGATTTAAGGGTTACAGATCAGCATTGTGATAGCCTGAAGGTTTTTAGTATTTGTTTTACAAAATGTGTACACAGAGCTAACCTGTTAAAACTAGAATCCTAAACACCCTTGCTACAGAGTAAGCCTGATTAAACTCAATGAGGCTAACTTTCAATTGTATATCTCTAGGATTGCCTGGCACTGCCACTGCCACTGGCGCTGCCACAATCCCAAGCAGAGTTAGGTGCTCCTAAAACCACTGCTTTCAATGGGCTTAGGAATGTTCTCACCTCTCGAAAAGGTACAGGCTTGAATACAAAGGCTTGACTATGTAGCAGAGGTGACACACATGCAACAAAATATTATATCCTGAAAAAGCTGACAGATAAATCCTGTTTTTAAATTATCATTATCATAATTTCTTCTCGAAAACCATTGTCTCAATGTAATTTACACATAAGAAAAAACAGTTAAAAGCACAAAAAATGATGAGCTGCGGAGGCTCCTTCAACAGGAATAATGCAGTAGAGGTGACACACATGCAACAAAATATTATATTCTGAAAGAAGTTGCTATACTAGTGAATCCTGTTTTATTACCATTCATTTATTAATCTCCTTCTAAACCAATGCAATTTAAGTTTAAAACACAAAAAAACCAATATAAAAACTGACCATCTTCAATTTATAAACTAATGGAATTCTTTGCCCTTATGAGTGTCTCTAATGCAGGGCTAGGGAACCTTTTCCAGCCCATGGATGGAACCTTCCTACATCCAACATATGGAGGCTGCTGGAGGACACGTGCCAGTTCTGAGTGGGGCCAAAGGCCAAAAAACATTGGAGAAGCAAGAGGCAAATGAGACCACATTCCAGTCATACAAAATTGTGCACACATAGACACCTCAGCATCCTCTATTCCAACAGGCAAGAGGCATTGTCACAGTTTAAAGACACTTTCCAGCTGAGCAAAAGCATGCAGTAGGACTAGGAATGGGTTTGGCTTAGGAAGAATCCTGGAAGGCCACATTTGTCCCCTGGGCCTGAGGCTCTCCCACCCCATCCTAAGGAGACGATCAATGGCTACTAGCCAGGATGGTTATACACTGCTTCCACAGGGGGAAGCCGTATCCTGAATACCAGTTGCTGGAAACCACAGGTGAGAGCTCTTGGGTTTGGGTCCTGCTTGCAGGTCTCCCACAGGCATCTGGGTGGTCAGTATGAGAACAGGATGCTGGAATAGATGGGCCATTGGCTTAATCCAGCAGGCTCTTCATATGTTTGCCTCATATTACACAGAGCTGGTGAGTCTAGATGACTTTTAAGCACTTGCTTTCTTATTAATTGTCTATTCTTCTAGTCAGTGCACCAGTCATCGAAAGAAAGTTCCAGTCAATAGACGTATAAAGAAGAATCAATTGTGCTTCCTTGCATTCACAGCTAAGTGTTTTTGTTTTTTGTTTTGCAGTGCTCCTTAAGTCATTGGTATTTGGCTGAATCACACAGATTGAGTTCAGAACTCAATTATTTCGGATGCAGCACAAAGTTTGCTGATTTTTAAAGCATGCTAGTGTTATGAAGTATTTAATCAACACTGCAAAGCTATTTAATATAATGTTAAAATGTTACACATAATTAAAAGCTGGTTTTGAGTCAGTTCACAAAACAAAAGGCTTATTTACTCACAAAAGTCTAAGGGCTTCTTTGAGTTCATCGGGCTGCTCTTGTGAAGACAACAAAATATTTCTGAAAAAAAGAAGAAAAAACTTGGTATAGTTAAAACATTACACAAAGTGATATATGTTGTTTTCAAAAGAGTGATTTGGGTAGGTACACCTTTAAATATGCATGGAATGGAATCTCTCCCCCATCCCTAAAAAGCAACAACAAAACCAAAACCAGAATTGGGCCAAATATATAATAAGCAGCATCTAATTCAGAGGTCATCAGTCCTTGTGGAAAAGTGGACACACTTCAGATTTTGAGAGTGTGCTATGAGTGGCGTGGGGGTGGGGACTGGCACAACACAAATGGCTACTGTGGGGGGGGGCATAGCATAAAACAGAACAAGAGAGATCAGTCGTTGCTGCTTTCCCTTCATCCAGAAAACTGTAATGTTTACCACAGGAAGTTAGCCAAGTCTTGCTAGTCCTGATTTTGAAGATACAGCTGTTAAACAATACCTCTGTTTTCTTCAATGGCACTCTTAAACTGAAGTCTGTTCTGTTATCCTGTACCCACTTACCTAGGAGTAAGCCCTATTAAACACAAAAACTTACTCCTGAAGTAGTCATGAATACCCTTACTGTACATTAACTCTACAGTGAAGTTAATTATTAATGAATCCTTGGACATCACCTTTTGCATCACAGGAGACATTAAGCTTCTTTGAAAAGTTTCCATATTTTGCATTTGCCATTTGGAGTGAAGATTCTTTAACATTCACCTGCACTTATTGTGTAGTAATATTTGCAGAAAATAACTGCTAGGAAGTTCCTGAACTCAGATGAATCCACCATAGGAATAATGCATTGTTGTTGCTGGGAAAAGGGAGCAAAGTACAGAGATTCCAAGGACCACAAGAAAATAAGAGTAAGCAGAAAAAGTTTACAAAAGTGGATGTGGGTGGGGAGACCCTAGGTTTAGGGTTTTCTGTGGCCTGGTGTTGAAATAGTTCACTTATCAATCTAACTTCACTAATAAACCAGGCATGAGCAGCTAGGCTGGCTAATTTCACTGAAATTGTTTAGAAGGCTATAAGTACATTTTGTTTCATAACTTACTTTCTAGGAGGGCTATAGAATAAGGTCCTACCTATCTGGACTATATATTTAAAGCAGAAACAATAATGGATTTCCCCAAAGAATCAGGGGGACTGTCATTGGTTCAGAAACCTCTGTTCTCCTCCAAGAGATAGAATTATCAGAATGGTATAACAGCCAGTCCCTCTTTCCAGGAAATTCTGGGAATGGTAGCTCTGAGTACAGTATAGGGGTCTCCTAATTCTCACTACCTTTAATAAACTACAGTTCCCTAACTTTTAAAATTATTATTATTATTACTAAAGCTCAGATTCTGGGGGCCCTGCCTGCTGCAACAATGAAGGCAAAGAAGGCCCATAGTTGCTGAGTTGCCGACCCCTGCTCAAATCAACCAATCAGTCCCCTCATAAAAATATTATAATTTTATTCAGAAGGTATTATGGGAGGAACACCAGTGGGATATCTCCTGTGGAATGCCAATTCTGAAACTCAAATATTAATTAGGATTGTTCCTGATTACACTAGGATATCACATCAGTTTCATTTGTAGTTTGCCACATGTGCTGATGGCTCAATTGCCCGTTTCACTGTGTAGAAATGCAGCAAGAAGCTGTTACTAGTCATGTTTTCCAGCCACATACACCATTAAAGACATACACATACATGGATTCATCCTGACTTAGGAAATTTCTCTTTTGTGAAGTGCAGGATATAAGCAGCTGCCTTGGGGCGGGGTTTACATGTTCTGCAAGGGCTGTTTCTTCACTCACTACGTAACCTATGAGTTGGAGTAGTAGACAAATTCATGGAAGATAATAAGGTTTTTAGCCAGGGTGTCTCTGTTGGAAGCAATATCCCCAAATGCCAATTGCTGGGAATCACAAATAGAGTGTGTGCTGTTGCCCTCAGGTTCTGTTTTCATGTTTCCCATAGGCTCATAGAAATTTAATAAATTAATAATAATAATAATGGTTGGAATTGGAAATTGTTTCAGCTGGGCACTGGACTGAAGGGGTCACTGGCCTGCAACAGCAAGCTCCTCTTATGTTGTTAACTAAATCAACCACCAACCAAAGCAAATCATTGGCCCGCTTAAGATGTACAGTGGTACTTTGGGTTACATACGCTTCACGTTACATACGCTTCAGGTTACAGACTCCGCTAACCCAGAAATAGTGCTTCAGGTTAAGAACTTAGCTTCAGGATGAGAACAGAAATTGTGCTCCAGCAGCGCGGCGGCAGCAGGAGGCCCCATTAGCTAAAGTGGTGCTTCAGGTTAAGAAGTTTCAGGTTAAGTACGGACCTCTGGAACGAATTAAGTACCGTACTTAACCTGAGGTACCACTGTAATACTAAACCATGTGAATAATCAGAAGTGAACTGGTTTCATCCTGACCATATTTTGAGTTCTATCTAGTTCAATCCCTAACAATAAACCTCTCACTTAATTTAAATCAGAAAGTGGGTGAGTCTAACTGTTCACTGTGTTCCATGGAGCTTAATTCCAGGTAAATGTGAATAGAATTGCTTCCTAAACTAAAAAACCACGGACAGATGTAGCTTACTTTTAGGCTTTCTCACATAGCTCTCTAAAACCAGCGCCGGTGGCAAAATAAGAAGTACGAAACAATTCTCCTGAGAAGCTGGGCTGTATAAAATTAAGGTACTTGTTCTCATTTAAAGTTCACAGCTTCTGCTGGAAGTCCAAAGTAGGTGAGTTAAGCATGATGGGAAACTCCTTCGCTTCAGAAACAACCCACTGATAATGGCTCCTTTCCTCTCTCTCCCCACCTCCCTTTACTACGCACTCTCCTCTGAGGCAGCGAACGGGGCGCGCGTGCGAGGGGAGAAAGCTTCCAAGTCCTCTGTGAAAGGAAAACTACAACTCCCACAGTTCCCTCCAAATCCTCCTCAACCCTCTCTGCCTGCGGTGCATCACGGGACCTGTAGGCCGCGCCGCGGCGGGCCGCTTCTGAGGCACCCGCGAACTACATCCCCCAGGCAGCCGCGAAGGAGAAGCGGCGTTGACGCAGGCGCGGTGGAGTGCGGACGGAAAAAGGGGGGCGTGGCCTCTGAGGCTTGCTGTCTCTGTGGCTCCCTGTGAGTGAGAGTGTGCGTGTGTGTCGGTTTCGGGTACAGTCGCCATTTAGCGCGGCGAGTTCCCCGGGGCTGGGAGAGGTGGCAGCGGGGAGGCCCATCCCCCACTCCCCTCAGGAGCCGCGAGCGAAAGAAGGACGGGAAGGAGCTGAGGCGGACGGGCGGGACGAGCTCGTCTTCCCTTCTTAGATTATAATATTACGAATTTCTGCCTCCTTCCCACACCCCGCCTCTCAGGCCAGCCACTCTCGCAGCGTGAGGCGCGCGGTGGCCTCCTCCGGGTGAGAGGAGCGAACGAGGGAAGGAGGGGCGGCGACGGCGGCGGGAGTCACGGCATCGTGTGAGGGGACGGAAGGCGACTCTCCGGCGGCGGCGGCGGCTGGCTCTCTGACTGGACCGGACTCGAAGCAAGGAGCGGGCGGCGGGGCGAGGCAGAGCGCGCGCGGCCCCGACAGGGAAGGGCCTCGGCCAGCCCCGCACCCCACCCCGTCGGCTCGGGGCCTGCCGTGGGCTCCCGCCCGGCTCCTCCTCCGCTTTTCTCCTGCGACCCCCCCCGCTCCTCATCGGATCCCTCCTCATCTTCGCCGCTGTTTGCTGCTCCATGTCGGCCCCGCTGCTCGGCCCCCCGCTGCAGCAGGATGGATGCGGACACTGACCGCCTGCCGCCGCCGGCCCAGCCCGCTCTGCTTCCACAGCAGCAGCAGCAACAGCCGTCGCCGCTGCTGCCTTTCCTCCTCGCGGTGAGGAGCCTCCGGGAGCCTCCACTGCCGCCGCCGCCGCTTTCGCCGCGAGAGCAGCTCCTCGGCGCGCTCCCCGCCTTGCATTGACCCTCCTCGAGTCAGCTGCTGTTGCTGCTGCAGCAGCGGCAGCTGCTGGTGCTGCTCCTGCCGCCGCGGCTCCCGCGCCTTCGCCGCGTTTCCCTCCTCCTCCGGCACCATGTCGGGGGGCGCTTCGGAGACTCCCCGCTTCCTGGCTCCTCCGCCGCCCCCGCCCAAGAACGGCTCCAGCTCGGACAGCTCCGTTGGTGAGAAGCTGGGGGTCGCCGCCGCCACCACCGCTACCGCCGGCACCGGGGACCCCGAAGGCTCGGAAGGCAGCGGGGCCCGCATCGAGGAGTATCGCCGACGCCGCCACACCATGGACAAGGACAGCCGTGGCGCGGCCGCCACCGAGCACCGCTTTTTCCGCCGGAGTGTCATTTGCGACTCGAATGCGACCGCTCTGGAGCTTCCGCGGCTGCAGCCCGCAGCGCCTCCCCCTCCTGCAGCCGCCCGAGGGAGCATCCCGCCCGTGCTGGGCTCGCCGCCGGAGTCTGTCATCCAGGCAGCATGTGCTTCTGTCACTGCTAGCCAGGCTCCCACGCTGCTCCTGCAGCAGGCACCCCCTCTACCTCCACCCGCAGAGGGGCAGCCTGGTCAAGAGGCGTTGGTAACAAAGGACGTTGCCCCACTGCTGCTGTCCAAGGAGGATGGAATAGAGGTCACCCCACTGCCCCCTACCAGTACAGCGGGAACCACTGCCGTTTCTGCCAGGGATCTGCAAGAAGAGCGGACTAAACAGCAGGAAGATATTGAGGAGCTGGAGACCAAAGCTGTGGCCTTCTCCCCAGATGGCCGTTTTCTTAAGTTTGACATCGAGATTGGTAGAGGCTCCTTCAAGACTGTCTACAAGGGGCTTGACACGGAGACCACAGTGGAGGTTGCTTGGTGTGAGCTTCAGGTAATAGAAAGGTGTCAGCTTGCCTTCAGGGTTAAGGTAGACAGGCACTCACTCCCCTACTGCCAAATTGATAGTCCCAAAAGAATGGCTGTATTCCTACTGCCAAATTGATAGTCCCAAAAGAATGGCTGTATTCCTGTGTGTGATCCATGGAAGATTACAATTGATCATGGCTATATATTAAATAGTCTCATTTTTGTGTGTGCTGTAAAGGTGATCTGGGAAGCATTGGTTACTCTTAATGGCCTGGAACTAGGCTCATGATACTGGGCTCGTGGTTAAGTTCTCTTCTTACTAGCCACAAGCTGTAGCCAAGGTTTATTCTTGGCTACAGCTCAACCATGGGCCAGAGTTTGGATAACACACTAAATGAAACTTTGACTTAACTCTATGTGGTGTGACAATAAGGAGGACTGGGAGAGGAGCACAGTGGCTGTGAATTACTGTCTGGGAGTGTGTGGGCGTGGTAAACCATAGTTTAGTGTACTGGGTTGTGCAAATCATGCCAATATGTGAATCAGGCCTATATCTGCTAACATTAGATGATAGTCTCAACTTAAGATTTTGGTATATACTTTGGTAGCTTCACTACTCAGGCTGTTGAGTTTTGGTTCACATCTGCAACCTGTCAAATGATAGCAAACCCTTTTTAAATTAAAAAGAAGTCAGTAGGGAATGGTTTTATATTGATTAGGGCTGAGTCCATTGTACAATGTGGTGAAAAATATTTGGAAAATGAGAATTCTGTGGAGCTGTAAAGGCACTAAGTTTAGCACCAACCCTGTTAAATTTGTGCAAAGCCTTCATATTTCTACTAACTGTATACCTCAGCTTGGTAATGATACTGCAGCATACATTGTTTATTATGTTTGTGTATGTAACCCAAAGTAAAAAAAATCTTTGACACGATATTTTCCCTGGAATAACTATCCAGAGATTTTCTTCTTGTTCCCTCTCCACATTTAATAAAAAATCCCAGTTACAGTATGTTTGGCTGTGATAATGTGTGTAGGGCATATGTGTAATATCAAACTGTGGTCATGCACTAGAGAACTGTGACTATTACAGTTCACCAGTGTACATTACATGCTTGTAGGAGCAACACTGCCTGTCACACTAGTGGTTTGCCCTGTCTGTTGTGAAGTGACTCTTAAAGTCTGTCTGCCTGACACATGTTAGGTCATGTTTAAAGTGAGGTAGAAATGTAAATTGGTATTGCTTCAGATATGTTTTATGGAATGGTAAGTGATTAAGGCTTCAATCCTAAGGGGTGCATTTGTGTGGATGGGAGGAGAGGGGAAGAATGATGGTGGTTCTACCACGTTATCCTACTACAAACTGACAGACTCAAGCTGGCACTGTGGAAGTGAGGGTGGAGGGACACTCTTGAGTTCCAATGGGTTTATCCAATTCTTTGTGCATGTAGTTCCATAGGTGCAATGGGATTTCTATTTCCTCTCTACTGTCCATACTCCCAAACGCTGCTCTGGAGGATGCCCCAATCCTCCACAGCTGATTTAGAGGATGTGGGGGTGGGGGTCTGGAGGTGACAGGAGAAGAAGAGGAAACTCCATTGTGCACACACAAGTCAGTTGCGCCATTGTAGCTGCAGCATTGGAAACAATGAAATGAAGAGGAGAGATCTAAATGCACTCAGAAGTGGACTGAATTTCCCTCCAGTTTGTGGGCGTGTCATGGGACTGGAAGGAATTTGGATCATTCAGGTCCAAATCATTTTCTAGCATGCTGCTTTTTGACAATACTGATGCTGACATCAGTTAGGCCAGGGCTTTGAAGGAGCTAGGACCATAGCATTGCCCCCTTTGTGAACCAGATGAGGGTCATATTGTATGTAGCTGTCTGTACATTGTCAGCTTTCTGGCTACCCTGTGTGTGTGCATATGGGTGCATGAATTGAAAGGATTGCAGGTGTTCTTTGAGTGAGCTACTCGCACCATCTTTGTAGTTAGGCAAGTAGTAATTCCTTCTTGATAGGTCAGTAGCAGTATTCCACACCCAGTTAACAGACATGAGTGGTACAGTGGGTAGGCTGGCAATTTTGGTTTGTCATTTCTTGTACTCCACAATCGTTTCACAGTAAAGACACCAATAATAGTTCATATGAATTGAGTCTAAGAAAGAAGTTGTTGCATTGTGAGTTGAACAGTAAATACATGAAAGGTGCTCATTCTGCTTGGAAAAAAAATCTGGGTTGAAAAATCAATGCTGATATTTTCCAAAGGCATAGGGGGCAGTCATATAATTTGCACTGCTCACCAGTGAAGTTGCTAGCTCCAGTATATGTTGAAAAAGTTTGTATGAACAGTGATATTAAAATATTTTAAATAAATATTAGATGCACTAAACTTCAGAAATGTAAACCAGTGATCTCCAATTAGCAAAGTACTGTGGACTTTCAAAACCCAAAGCCATGAGCTCCTTACTTTTGAAAATTTTGATATCTCTGTGGTAGGTTTTTTTTTATGTGAATGGTGCCATGGACCCCCTGGGTGTGTTACACGGACCTCCTAGGGTATGTAGACCACCATTTGGGAACCACTGATGTAAACAATACAAGTTGCCTTTCAGAGAACATCTTGTTAAGTCTGGCAAACTGGGTAAAGATTCTTCAGTTTATATTGGTTTGTTTCAGGGTCAGCATTTGAAACAAACTCATGCTCACATGAGAATTCAAAGAACTTGGAAGTTTGTTGCAGGCAGAATAGACCAAATGCAGCAGTGAGGAAGATAAATTAACTCATGAACTAATTAATTTGACTCCCCTATACCAGTGAGGATGGCCAAATACAGATTCCCCTGAGGTTTCCCTTCCTATACTTAAATTTAAAACTTGAACTCTACTTGTAATGATTTCTTTTTTACGTTTTATTTAAGTGCTTGCTTAAATTGAGACTATCGGCTTAGAAATAGAAGCTCTGTAGTAAGATTGTGTGCTTTGGGAACAAATTGGTTTAAAGTCAGTCTGATATTAGGGTTTGTCTGCACTAGTAAGTTGCCCGGTACTTATGTGCTCTGCTTTGGCCTTAATCAAAATTGGAGCTTTTTATAGATTGAGGAAAACTTTCCTTTGAAGCAGGATTCAAGTGTGCAGCTTGACAACTGCACTGGAATAGCAGTTATGCCTGTTGATCACAGTGTAGTTTTGTGTAG